CTGTGCCTACACTCTCCTGTTGTCACTGCTACAGTCTGCTTGCAGCCAGCCAAGAGCAGGGACCTGCAGGTTCCCCAGGACCTGTTTAGAGGAGGAAGTTCTGTGATAAAACTTTATAATGGTTCCTAATCTCTCAAGGCACCAAAAAAGAAGCTGGCACTACTGTGGAACTGAGAAGAAGGTCCTGCGCAGGAGAGAGCACACTTGGACAGAGTCCGCATTGCAGGGTCTTCTGCTGATGGCATCGTGGCGGGCAGCCTTCGCCTTGACTGCACCTTAGAAACCTCTGCTGTCTGCTTAGACCAAGCCGTGCTGGTCTCAGCCTCCGCTGCGGGCCTGCTCTCCCTCCGCTAAGCTGGGCCACCTGTTCAAACTCTTCTCATCTGGTGGGCTGGGGAAGAGCCGGCAGCTATGGAGAAGAGGTCTCGTTTTTTCCACACTGAAGTATGACATTGTTCTGACTCTTCATGGTGTTCCGAATTCTGTACAATTTCCTTTCTTGCCCTCTTGCATTTAAACGTGAAGTAATTAGATTTCCCAAGGTTCAGTGGTCAAGAGCCTCCCATCCCAGGGTCGCCTCCCATCCCAGGGTCGCCTCCCGCACGGTCGCAGCAGGACTGTCTCGCGTAATCCAGTTACTGCTGTATTGTTGCAGAGGCCCTCCTTTGCCAGGGGGCAGGCGTAGCATGGAAACCCATCCTCACATGTCCCTTTGTCTCCATCGCAGAGTTACTTTTTTCTGCATTTGAAAGTAATTATTTGCTATTTTTTTCAGGGACTCTGTTTTGAGGATTTCTAAACATTTCATAGAAATCTTTTCCTGCCTCTTAGGAATCATCTCAGATATGTCTGACTCTTTCATATGGAGTTCCTGTTTGTTTTTTATTTCTGTCAGATGTCTGATGGTCAGATCTGTTTGGACTGAGGAATGAATGGAAAGAGAGTTTGTGGCAAGCTGGCACCAAAGAAATGGTGTCATGGCCACTGAACAAAAGCTTGTCAGAGTCCAGCTCTGGCAGCAAGCTCTCAGGCCCACGCTGCCACCTTTTGTCTTATTTTCTCCTTTCCATAAACAGGTCATGTTTTCACCTTCACCACAAGGCATGTATGTGTTCTAAAAGCTTGACCACCCAGTGTTTAGTAAAAACTGAGAAAGGATATACACTCAGCCAAGCCATGTCTGCTTCTGCAGCTTAATGGCAAAAGCAACCTTGCTGACGGTTAGCGAGGAGCACATGGAAATGACCTCCGCTGCAGCTGGTGGAGGAATGTGCAGGATGGTCAAGGGATTTGAGGAAGGCTTCTAAAACGCTCTCTGCCAGAGAAGTCAAAGAGCTCAGAGGGCTAAGAAAGAAACAGACTAGTTTGATACTCCAGGGAGTCTGATTCAGATTTGTGTATTCACCTCCACATCTTAGTGAAGTTCTTCTGTGCCCTTATGGGAAAATCAGCTGAATTCCCCCATGGCTGAAACAGCCTGGCCCCGGCCTGCTTGGTCTGGGATGTGATCCTAACAGGGTGGTGAGCTGAGCTGGGGTCCCTGTGTGCTCTGTAGGAACAGTCTTTCTCACTCCCAGTGCGGTTGTTTTCCATAACAATGCGGCAAAGAAGATCCTGTCCCTGTGTGACACTTTTGACCCCTAAAGAAGTCTCCTTCAAAACTATCACAGGCATGGTTGTATTCTTAGAATTTCTAATGTATATTACTTTTGCCAAAAGAACTGAACCTAGAGTAGTGCCTAGATTAAGAAAATTGCTGGAGATAAGCGTAAATCACAGTATTGAGCAGTTTTTATAGCTGACTTCATCTTCAGTCAGCAAACTTGAAGTACAGCTGGCAAAGTCTCGATTGTGTGAAACAGAAGTACAAGTACTTGCAGGGTACTGGCCAGACTTGGGAAAGATGCACGTTTGGAAACACTTAATTTTTTTCCTTTTGGAATTTCTACTAAGAAGCCCTGTTATGAGGAAGGAATAAAAGCAAAAGGGACCTTTGGAATTGCGCTCTGCCGGGTCTTGTGCACCAGCCACTTGTGGATTTGGTTTGCAGCTGTACCTGCTCTGCCTTCGCAGGCTCCAAAACTGGGAGTTGACTGTCCTTGACTAGCTTTCACTGCCATTGTGGTTCATGTGACTTTGAGTCATTATTATTTTTTGTTATATTTGATTGTAACATTGCTCCTTTTTAAAAAAAAAATTCTCCATTTTGGCTCTGAGGCTGGTTGAGCATAATCCTTAGTCTCTTTTTTCCCACCTTGACTTTATTCTTTTTAGTCAGGATGTCCTTAACAGACCCGTGTGTATCTAAATTCTGTTCTTCACACTTCATTTACAAAACAGGAATTTCTTCCTTCTGTCCACACCAAAGCACTTCCCTTATGCCTTCCTGGCAGTACTTCTGATCCTGGGCACATGTGGAAGTAACCCATGTCCTTCCCTGCTGGGTCCTGAGGGCAGGAGGAGTGCATCGAGACAGCCCTGGATCTGCACTTGGCCTGTGTAGTCACTGCAGAGAGTAGCTAGACCACAGTGCTGACTGATCCACAGGGTCCTATTTGCAGTTGGCAGTTACTGATTGTAAACTACTAGGTAAATATGATGGAAAAATAGCAGAGAGGATTGCCAAACTGACTTGTTCTTTTGGGCATTTCCAATAAACAAACCGGTGTGGCGTATCTTGAAGCAAGTATTGAGCTCAGGTGGCCCTCTGCCACCCTAGGGAGTGCCAGGAGCTGTGCCAAGGAAGGCGCCTTCACATTCAGCCCACAAGTGAGGATTCCATTGTCTCTGGAAAGTTCATCCCTGTGTAGCCCAGGCATTTCCCAGTCAAAACTCAGTCTCCCAGCTTGGATGGCATGGTTTGTGAAGGTCAGGCCACCACTGGGAATAAATAGTAAGGGATTGCTCTCGAATGTTAGCCTGCACTAGAGGCTCCAATGTAACAAACAGCTACCTTTCAAGGGGCCACACTCCTCTGTGTGTCTCACCACCAGAGCCCCCTGTGTTACTACCAAGGAAGCTGCCATGAAACTCAATGCAGAGCTTATAGAAAAATCTGCAGATACAGGTGCAAACGAAGTAAGTGATTTTCCAAAAGGAATTACTTAGGGAGAAGATGGAAGCATGGGCTTTTAGGCTTCCCTCAGTGACATGCCACTTGTGCTCCCTCCATTTACCGACCTTCTTGTGCCTTCACAGTCATCTCTCAGTCTCCCACTTTAATGCCTGCTGCCTGCCATCTGGCCATGCAAGCCCAATCCCAGAACTCACCAGGCTTTGGGTCTCTCTCCTTCCTTGCTCAACACCCCTCCACCAGCACTTCACATGGGCTTGCCTGGCTGCTCCATTTGACAACTTCCAACACTTCACACCTCCTGTGAGCATTGTGCAAAAACCTGGGCATCACCACACAGCAAGTTAGTGCAGTAGTTAGTTCCCATCTAGCATATATAGAAAGTACTCAGGAATTGGGCTCTGTATTCTCTGAGGTACATCTCAGCTAGTGAGCATGCAGGAAGTGGCATTGGCCTGAGGACCGTGGCTTCCCTACCCCTGCAGCCTGGAGAGAGCTGCCTAGTGAACACCCTCCTGTCCTGGGGGGCCTGCCGCCAGCCGGATGCAATTATTCAGACCTCAGCCCTGCAACCGTGGCTTCAAGTTATTGCCCAGGTGAAGAAGTGCTGCTTAGTTGGGGGGGGACTCTCCCAACTTGGCCCCTTCACCTCCATTTTCGGAGGTTCCCAGGGTCTTGTCAGAACACTGCGGGGCCACTGCGCAGCCAGCTCACCGTGCGGGCACTTCCCGGCTTTTGCTCTGCTTATTAATTCTCACAGTCTTGTTTTGAAAAGAACTCTTTTTGCACCAGAACATGTGGTGAAGTGGTTTCACTAATCCCTGGAGGTTTTGTTTTTCCTTCCTACTAGTCGGGAGCCACTCTTTTGGGAACAGCATTGACATGCATAGCCACCATGGTTAACTTCAGTGCTCATTAATGGAGCCCCAAACTAATAGTTACATTGTTGTCATTTGACAAAGCCACCTAAATCTATGCATGATTTTTTTTTTTTTTGAAAGCTCCCAAAACATGCTGCTAAATCCCCTAAAAAGCCACTAAACTGCTTTGGCAGCCATTAGCCCAGCATAAGCAGACGCACTCTTTTCAGTAAGTGAACAAACAGAGGAAAGATGCTGAATGGCTGGACAAATGTGTTTCAGCTGCCTTTCATTTACCTATATGAGGGCGCAGTCCATATCAATCACTGTTTTCCCTGCTGCCCTGAAAATCACAAGATGGCCTTTTATGCCACAGCCTCTTCCACCACAGCAGTGAGCCTTCAGAGTGACGCTGGCGTCAGCCTGCTTCCCTTCTCAGGTCCAGGGAGCTGGAAACCTTCCCTTCCGCCTTCCTCCACCAACTTTCCTCTCCCCCTGCACCCAGTTTTTCCAGCTTTCCTCCCTGAATAAATAGAATTCGCTTCTCTGTTCTAATGTGGCTTTCCAGAGTAAATGTGGACAGCCCTCTCTGATATCCCAAGATTTAGGAACTCCTTTAAAAGATGCACAGAAAGAAACGCCTCTCCATGCTGGAATGCATCCAATTGAAAGGATCTGGAGGTCTGGGCTGTGACAGGTGTGCTGGTGAACAAGCCTCCTCTGCAGCACCTCCTCCCCACCTCTCCCACGCCCCACCCCCACCCCGCCCTAAAAGCCTGGGTGGTAAGTCCTTCCTTTGCAGTTAGGAGCAAACGCAAGATCGCATGTGCCTTATCTTACACAGCTTTGTGCTCCTGATTCCAAGTGCTTGTTACATTATTTTGGAATGAAGGAAGGAACAGGAAACTGGATATGGTTACTTTGTATCCTTTTAAAAATTTGAGTGGAATAACTGGCAGAAATTTTTAGCAACGTGCTTGTTATCACGAATGAATATTTGGAATATCACATTTCTGAAAAAAGAGTGTTGATTGTTTTCCTCTCCTTGTGTGTATTTTTATTTTCAGATCATAGCCGTCTGCAGAGAGGCAGCTCTCCTGGCTCTGGAAGAAAACATCAAAGCCAACTGCATTATGAAAAGGCATTTTACTCAAGCCTTGAGCACTGTGGCCCCGCGAATCCCTGAGTCACTGAGACGCTTTTATGAAGAGTATCAAGAGAAGAGTGGGCTGCATACACTCTGAGAAAATCCCCACATCCATTAAGCCAGACTCCTTTCTAGAGAAACATTGGCTTTGTCTTATTTTTTGTTTTTTAATTTTGCCATAAAAGTGTTTTTTTTAAAAATCCCTACTAGATAAATTGTTTGAAGTAATTTCACTTGAACTGAGGGACTTTAGTCTTTACACACGTTTTGAATTATATGGATGCATTGAAAAATCTGTGGATATGAGTTTACATTAGTTTTCTCTGGAAATGTATGCCAAGTTTAAAATGCTTAGCCTTTTCATTTTTGACCTGGTCCGTTCATCCCTTGAGATGATTTCCTTGCTCTAGAATTCACTCTGATGCCCTCCTAAGTGTCCCACCTTAGGCATCTCTCTCAAACAACAAGATAGGGAATGTATGTGGATGAAGGCATCGTGGAAAACACTGAGCTTTGTTTTTGGAAGACCAGCCAATGAAATATCCAGATGCCACCAGGTGTCTCTGGCCTTGTTTGCAAATGCATGGTTGTCCTCATTATAACTCAAACCTGCATCTGTGGCAGAGAAGAGTCTTGTTAGGTCAAGGCTGGGCCGTAGTGAAGCACTTGCCATCCATGCCCAAGCCATTGGTCCAGCCCCTAGCACCACCAAAGAACTTGTTTCATGTAAATCAGTGCCATCTTAAGGGTTAAAATTTATAATTATAAGGCCATTCTAAGCCCAGAACAGCAGTAGGCTTGATTTTTTTTCCTAAAATGCTATAAATACATCACATATAAAGTATTAATGTTTTAATTCATATGTATTTTCAGGTTACAAGTGAACTTTTCTGTTCAAAAATAAATTTTTTTAAAGTGTACTCTTCATATTGTATTATGGTATCATCTAACTATGTTTTATATTTATGTGTCTATTTATATGTCCTCAGGATTTCTGGACACTTTAATGCTTCATAAAGACCCTTTGAAACCTGGAAAGCAATTCACTAGCCTCCAAATCACACACTTGTCAGTGAGCACACCTGTAATCCCAGCGACTCGGAAAGCTGAGGCAGGAGGACCACAGGCTGGAGGCCAGCCTCAGCAACTTAGCAGGCCCTGTCTCAAAAAAAAAAAAAAAATTAAGGAGGGGGCCAGGGGAGTTGCAGTGCATACTGTCTGAATGGAAAAGACCCTCTCCAGATCCTGGGGAGGAACTCTCTTTGGGAAGGAAAGCTGCTGCAGTATTTCTACTGTCTTCCCAGTGTTTCACATCTTACCAGGGTGTTTGGAATAGAGGCACTGATGATGGCGGTCTTCTCTTTTTGAATGCCTGAGCATTCCCTGATGGTTTTTATACCAACATCATGATCCTGTCCTTCAGTCAGCTCCATGGACTCAGTGCAGCCCACGTTGTCCACTCCTTGTGTCTGGAAACTCAGGAGTACTGGGCACAAAGGTATAAAATGTAAGAAGGCGAATGAGATCAGGCTTCAGAGCCAGGAGTCAGTTGGTAAGCTAGCGTATGTGGGTGGCTGCCCTCAGAGTGGGAGACTTTAGACCTGGAGCGAGGTCCGTGTCACACTGTGGCCACACACAGGAGTAGGAGTTGGTAGTTTAAGAGGATCATAGAGGACCGAGCACTATATCTTACAATTATAAACCAGTTGTTTTTTACATCTCCAGGTAGCATTCCACTCCTTCATTTGAAGTTTGTACTCTTTTTACAACAGCAATGGCAAAATCTGACTCACACCCAAGAGCAGTGGCAGAGTCAGTGGTGACAGCTTCATCTCCATGAGAACTTTGCTTCCAGTCTAGCCTCTCCTGTTAGGGGTTTGCAACAGTGAATTATCCTCTTACTTGGGTTGTTTCTGATGGGATACATGGTAAATGCCATGGAAAATTTAAGTTTCCCAAGGAAAGAAAATGACTAGCTTTCTCTCTTAAAGTCATTTTATTTTTTGGCACCCATTTGGTCAGAAGTTTTGCCTTTGGTCCAGATTCTTTTGCTGTTTCAGCTATATTTACATTGACATACCTTTTCAGTGTTCCAAGAGATTTTAGTTTGAAAAGGTTTGAGGGTTTTTTTCTTCTTCTTTTAACAGTGAACTTAGAAAACTTTTATTTCTTCGTGGCCAAGAATTTAATCTAACTTGGCTTGAAATTTAGTTCTGTCTTATTTCTAATGTGTAAAACAGATTTTTTATATAATACGTAGGTTTTGTACTTTCATAAAAGATTAAATTTATAGAAGAATAAAACTGAAGTACCTGTTTAATATATCTTAAAAGAAGGTAAAGAAAGATTGCTGTAAAGATAGAATTAAGTTATTTCTCACCAGGCGCAGTGGCACATGCCTGTAATCCCAGTGGCTGGGGAGGATGAGGCAGGAGGATCTTAGAGTTCAAAGCCAGCCACAGTATTTACTAAGGCCTTAGCAACTCACTGAGACCCTGACTCTAAATGCAAATTAGGGTTGGGGATGTGGCTCAGTGGTTGAGTGTCTCAAGTTCAATCCCAGCCCCCCCCCCCCCGAAAAAAAAAAAGAAAGAAAGAATTTCTCTGGTCTGTTGTTACTTCAATTCCTGAAAGTGCATTTGTCAGAGTCTAGTTATTTGCTGTGTTTCCCTGAGTCCTTCCTGTAGATATGAGCACAACCCAGAGCACCCTTTAAAATTATGTATGGATTAAATCAACACTAGTTTCCAAATGTGGTCTGCAGATTTTTTGCCTTCCTTCCCAGGCTTTCACTTGGGTATCTGTGTGCCCAGGTAGGCTCTTTCCCGGTGTCTCTGCAAGGATGCCCCAGTAACCTGCAACTTCTGGAGACTCGCTTTTAAGAACAGAACTTATTCTAGCTAATTTTAGCAGAAAGAGGTATGTTACAGGTTTTTTAATGACTTACAAAATCACTAGGAAATGTGTGGACTCCTCTTTCAGACTTAGTGATAAACATTTTTGGAAAGATTGTCACGTGTTACACAGCCACACAGAAAAATCCAGGAAAATGGGAAGGGAGGGAGGAAAGTAGCATTCATCTATCCTGAAACTAGGGAACAAAATCAACCCACATTAAAAACCTCGAAGGCTATTTGCTAGGGGCAACACATCTTGGACCAACTTAAAAAGGATCCACAAAGTTCAAAATACACTCTTAGAGCACAAATAAAGATAGGAAATACCTTATTATCTTGGCCTCCTCAACACCCCATCAATCATAAAGCTCACTATTTAGAAACTTCTTTTCTTTTGGAAAAAATATAATATTGACATTAACTTCAATATTAATATTATATTCTGGTTCCAGAAGCATTAAAATGTGAAAAGCATACGTACTTAAACATGAAAAGAGTCCAGTGAGAAGGAAACTGGCATGTAATCCATTCCCACATTTATATGGGCTGGGTTGTAGCTCTGTATTGTGGTGGAGCACTTGTGAGACAGTGGGAACTGATGGGGTTATGAGAGTCTTACCCTAATCAGTCTGTTAGTTCCCTGATAAGGGATTAGCTGGGTGGTTACTCTAGCCAAGTTGTGTGGCTGGAGGAGGTGGGTCCTTGGGGGCATGCTTTTGGTGTATTTTGTCAGTGGTGAGGGAAGTGCTCTCATGCGCGCCTGCACACTTTCTGCGCTCGCACTCGCTCGCTCGCTCTCTCTCTCTCCCCCCCCATCCCGCAACTTTCCTTCACAACACCCCTCCACCATGATGTCCTGCATCACGCAGGGACCTGCGGAATGCAGTCTACCATCTGAGACCTCTGAAACCAGGAGCGCCAAATGAACTCACATTCCTTTAAAGTGTTTTCTCTCATGTCTTTGGGTCACAACAGCAAAAGAGATGACCAAGACACCTAGCATTTGTCAATCCCCAGGACCACAAAAGGAAAAAAAATCATAAACCCCTAATTAAAATACTACTTGTGCCAACATAATCATAAACTGTAATGAGAATCATGAGAAGTAAATGGGACAGTCAAGGATATGGAGCACATTGTTCAAGGCCCATGAGAGAACATTGAAAAATCCCAGATGGAAGCAGCAGCAGGGGGTCTATGCCAAAGATCTGTTGGTGGAGGGTGTCAGGAGTAGGAAAGAAACAGGACAAGAGAAAAGCTTAGAATACAACTACTTAAAAAAAAAGTTAAAACATGGGCAACATGGTTCAGGAGGTAAATCAATTAAGATTCAAAAAGACAGGAAAGGAGTTAAGAAAAATAATTCATGTACCCTTTGACTCAGAAATTCCACTTCATTTATTGTACGTATATATTTACAAAGGTTCAAAACGGCATATATGAAGTTTTCCACCGCATTTGTTGTAATAGCAAAATATCTGAATCAGTTGAATGACTGATTTAAATGTGCTCTACCACCAACCCACACTCCAGCTCCAATGTGCAATTTTTATGTTCATGTATCCAAAATAAAGAATTATCTCCAAGATACATAGGAATTATAATTTATAAAAAAAATATGCTTAAACTCTGTGACACAGGATGTGCCTGATTGCATTCTCCCGTTGCAGAAATCTAGAACTTACAATAGGGCGCCCACACACATGCACATTACCACAGCATACCTGTAAGAGTAGAAAGGGTGCAGCAAGCTTTATACTACCACTGCAGTCAAACTGGAAACTGACTAGACTCAAGTCGAACTTCCTAGAAGGCTCGCTGGTGAAAGAAGAAGTCGAAATTACAGAAGACCAGAAAATACTACATATCGGAAGTCTACTGGATACAATTAAACTATCCTCCGCTCGGAGGATAGTTTACAGGCTCCCTTTAATAAGATTCACTGAATTAAGCATTCCACCAAGAAATTATGGAAAGGAACACCAAAATGACCTCAGGAAATTAATAAATATAAAAGCTGAAATTAGTAAATTACAAAACAGATTACTGTGTTGGATATAGTGAATCTCCCCCTCCAAATACGTCAGTGTCCTAATCCCCAGTCTTGATTGTGTTCATGATTATTACTGTCACGCGGTACAAGGGACTTGGAGATGTGACTAAGGATCTTGAGATTTTCCTGGGGTTTCTAGGCAGACCTAATAATATAATCACAAGGATCCTTACAAGGGATGTAGGCAAGAGGATCGGAAGCCAGCTGTGTCCCCTCGACCAAGTGCACAGTGTAGTTTCTGCCTCTTACTGTTAAGGCTTTCTTTAACGTTGTGGTGCAGAATTACTTCATTCAATTGTCCCAAGCATGTTCACTGTAGAAAGAGTTTTTTATTTAGCCAGGCACAGTGTCTTATGCCTGTAATCCCAACAACTCAGGAGGCTGAAGCAGGAGGGTCACAAGTTCAAGGCCAGCTTCAGCAACTTAGCAAGATCCTGTCTCAAAATCAAAATAAAAGGGCTGGGAGTATATCTCAGCCAGTGGTAGAGCACCCCTGGGTTCAATCCCAAGTACTAAAGAGAAAGAGAGATTTTTGTTTTTATTTTTAATAGCTAAAATTTACATTATTTTTTTCACCATACTTTGCCCTAAAGCTGAGGTTTTTCCTCTGTTGAGAACAATGGCAAACAACATCAGTAAGTTTTAAACTGTTTGAAAGTATTAAGTTTCTAGAAATACTGTGTTTCTATCTTAAAGGGACCTATCACCTTTGTGAGCCCTAGTGTTCAGTCCCATAAAGGGAACCAGAAAAGGAGAGAATGTGGACAGATCAAAGGGTGCTTGTGAGTTGAGAAGGAGGGCATTTTCAAGAAGCAATGGCGGAGGGTTCGTGAAAGGAACAAGCAAGCCAAGGTCATTGGATTTAGTCCTAGCAGTACATTAATGACCTCTAAGGCATGGATAGGAGAGGGAGTAGGGTTAAGGGCAGTTGCAGTGTAAGTTACATGATTACCTGACTCGCACGCATTTT